CGTATGTAATGATAACGTCGTAATGATTTGTTAAAAATCAATAACTAAGTTTACATATTTTTTGTCATAATTTAGTAAAAATTTTAAAAATGTTATGTATATATGAGTTTATTTTATATTAAAGATGATACTATTAAAAACAACTTTATTAAAAATAATTTTTTCATCTCTTTTGTAAAAACATTAATATTTTTTACATATTTTCCAACTAATTCACCAAATTATTTTATATTGAAGGTGCTTGAATACAATAGATGTTTAAATACAATAGATGTTTGAATACAATAGATGTTTGAATACAATAGATGTTTTTCAAAGAATATACATTTAATTTTATGGAAAACTACATACAGATGTAAAAAGAAAATATAAATATACATACATGTTTTATTTGTTTATGATTGATATCGTGCGTGTCATTGGATAATACATGAAGATACATGAAGATTTTATATTTATAATTTTTAAGTCATAAATATATAGATATTTTTATATAGGTTTCATATTTTACAATTTTTAAATTTGCTGTCTTGAATTATAAAACTTATTTGCTATAGTAGAATGATTTCGTGAACCTTATTTTCAAATCTGATTTCTATTAAAAGTTAAAAAAATAATATATTCGTGCGCACTACGAGTTATTGTTGTCGATGACATAATTGAAAATATGTCGATTACATCTAATCAACAAATGTTGTAACTGTCAAAATTAATCATCAAAATGATATAAAGACATGAAATCAATTCTATTACTATTTTCGAATATATAGTAAGTTTAAGTACTATAGAATTATTTATTTAATGATAAAAATAAATCTTTACATTTTTTCAACAATTTATCAATAAAATAATTTGTAAAAAATTTATTACAAATCTTGATTATGATATATTTACATTTTTAATAAAAATATGATACTTCTTTCTTTTCTTAATTGTTTATATGTAACATTTTTTATTAGAAAATATAAAAAATATTCTAATAATGTTCGTCTCGTATTCAGATGGAAAAAATCCCAATTACGCCACAGATTCTACGAACGGCTGTGAGAGAATTACAAAAACATCAATTGTTTGTTACATCAAAAAATTTAAGAGATTATATATGTAGACATTATCCAGTTGAAACTGATTTCAAAATTCTCGAGCAGGAATTACAAGAAAAATTGAAATATGCTGTTTGTGTCAAATTGCTCACTAAACATGGAGACGATCAATATTGCATACCAACTTTACGAGAAGAAGCTAATGCTGTTAAAACAGCTATCAGTGCATTTTGGGAAATATACAAAAATGTAATATAATTAATCCTTTTTATGACAATTTTTATAGCGCGCGACACTCTTTCGTTATTTATTTAGAACAATCAGTTGCCTGATATAAAAAAGAAAAAAGTGGACACCAAAGGATCGATATCACGTCCGAAACGAAGAGATTACGACAATTTCTCTGAAAACGATGAAACTGATGATAGCAGCGAGAATTAAATCTCTTCTAACTGTAAAACTAATCGTAACGCAAAACATAAAAATTACATATTAGGATGCAATTACATATTATGATGCAATTAAGAATCTTTTTACGTTTGTGCGTTTTATGTCCTATGTTAAACATTTTTGTATTTAAAAAAAAAGAAATGTTATATATTTTATATATAACCTATGTTATACATTTATTATTTTATATAGTTATATAAAATATATATACATTACTATGTACAATGAAGAACTTAATGCTGTGCAGTGCCAAGTACGGAAAAAGGATTATTTACATCATGAAAGAATTCTTCGCTAGTATTTTTGTGTACTATAGTTTTCTCTTCACAATCTTCTTCCTGTGTGCTAGGCTCCTTTTTTTTATATCTCTTTGTTTTTTGCTTCTTATACTTATCGATTTTTCTGTCTAATGCTGTTCCAAGCAAACATTTTACCTTTAATAAAAGTACATTAAATAAACGTAATAAACTTGGGGACTTTTGTAAAATCGAATTAACGTAAACTTCAACATCGTCGCGTTTTTTAAAATTGCCACATAAGTTGTACAATAATGTACCATTGAATACACTAGCAACTTTAGTTTGTTCATAAGGATATTCCAACAAGGCATTTAAATTCATGCTGTGTCTCAAACAATTTTGAAACTCTGCGAAACCATGCACTATTGTAACATTAAATTTTTTCGGTTGCTGATGCAATTTTTGATCCGTTTCGAAATTAGATATGAAGAATGCAGCTGCAATCAAGCAATCATCTGCATTAACTTCGTGAATTGCATCTGTAAGTGTAACATCAGTTGAATATTGTGGTTGATAATTTCTCATTCTCCTTGCATATTGAATATTTTCTATAGTTTTGTTAAATCTTTGATAAAATTTGTTTAAAACTCTGTAGAATCCTATATTGTTATCTATTATATTAAACAACATAGCGAACAATAAAGAGTAGATATGACAATTGAACTTAAATGGCTCTTGTTGTTGACATATCCAGTATTTCATGGTTGCAATATATAACATCCAATTCGATGGGATTTCATTTATGTAACTTGCATAAGCAATTGTTAAAGTGTTATTTAAAATTTCCCTTCTGATGACAATGGGTGTCTCTCTTAGGCTAAATAAAGATGGTAGAGTATGACCAAGTATATTATCGCTATACTCTAATTGATAACGCTTTATTTTCTTATTCTCATCTCTAGTCATATATTCCATATCGATTTTTCTTTCTTCGACTCCTGACATCAGTAATCCGTAAATAACACCAATAATTTTTAAACTCGCAACGATAGACGATACATAAAAATAGTCTTCAATTTGTGCAGGACAAACATACAATTTTCTTATTATTAAGTCTATGAAATAGGAAGGATATCTGCCTTGTTTGAATTCATTGATAAACCATTGAGGCCAATTATTAATCAAAGATTCATTAGAAAGCTTTTCTTTAAGTATGTTTGTTATTTCTTTATCCTCTATTTGTTCCTCGTCACTTGGGTCTGTTTCATTCATTTGTTCCTTTTCGTCAATATATGTCAGATTATATATATCACCTTCAAACTTATATGTTTTGGATACATTTTGTATAATTGCTTTTGAAAAGATTTCTGCAGGAACGCCTAACGTATGTAATACGCTCAATGATGCATTAATATAACTATTTATTATCATTTCTATTGTATTTAATACATGTTTGCGCTCTCGTTTTTGTAATCTACTTAATATTCCTACTATAGCTTGATTTAAATTGTGTCTTCGTAACCAATTAAATGTGGCATCTATACGTCGTTGCTGTTCATTATACGCTCTCTTGCCTATTTGTGGTAATTTCAGATGACGGAAAAAGTTTTTAAATGTGTGTTGCTTCACATAATCGTTTCCCAATAATATTGCTGCTAATGGCAACAAAGACTGATTTAATCCATGGTAAACCCTAAAAAGTTTCTCAACGTAATAAATTTTACAGCGTTTTATGTAACCCCTTCCTGTTGGATTACGCATTACATTATTTTCTAATGTGTTAAACGGTATGTATAATGATCCATAAATATAAAAGTCAGAATCATAGCTCAATACAGGACAATTAAGAATACGTGCTATTGCAGCTATCGTATTATCTGCTTCAAATATACATTGTGCGTATCTAATGCCTTTCGCATTCATCACATCTTTGAAAACTTCTTTTATAAGCAAAGGAAAAAATTTGGTCCTATGTTGCGAGGACAGAGTATAATATGATGCAATATTGATTTTTTCCTTAGTTCGAGATATGATAGTCTTGAGCTTTTTGTCTTCACAGCCACCATCAATCAAAACTAGCGGAGTAATATTGCACAATAAAAGTTCATGGAAAAAGTCCGACACACATTGTGCATATTTGTCATAATCACCACCAAAAGCGCAATTGCATTTTGCATACCACATATACAACTGACAACATATACTGTTGCCATCGATTACTAAATAACTGTCATGTAGCGCATAATTCTCCAGGTAACGTTCAGAATCATTTGATATATATGTTGTTAGACCAGGAATTCCCATTATAAAAATCAACTTTTTTCTGGCAAAGCTTCAAAAGCTTTTAATATTTCAATTATAAGAATTTCTGTAAGAAAATATTAAGAATTGATGATATTTCTGACATTTAAAAAATTCTTTTATTTTATTGCTTAATATAGTCTATTTTCTTATTTTTACTTATTATATAAATTTTTTTTTAGCTAAATAGCATTTTAACTAAATGTTTTGCATTGTTCATCTCTTTTTCTTCAATATGATATACTTTAAGTACAAGAAATGCATTATAATATCAATAATCACTCTTGAATATCAATAATCACTCTTGTAATCAAAATCTAGTACAATCAAAAACGCTATTAATTGATCTAATCTCAATATGTTCCTTTTCTTAATGGATTCATATTGCCTTTAATGATTATTTTTAATAAATTATTTTTTCAAGTCCTCACATTAATACTTCTATAATTTGTTATTTGATATTATTTTTATGAATGAGTAATATTACAATCATATCTTACATAATCTAGTAAAGTCCAGATTACTTTCTTCTTCTCTTTTTTTGATTGGAACTAGCATCAAGCTGTTAAGGAAATAAGAAAATTATCTTCTTAAGAAGGTTGAAAAATCAAAATGCTTCAATCTATTTTATTTAAAGTGAAGTGAATTTCACATAAAAATTTTAATTTTGGTTAATCGTATAGGTTCTTAAAAAAAAAGTTTTAAGAAAAAAAGTTAAGTTTTGTCCATGGTGTCTTATGGCAGATGTATCGAACAACTGTATGTTACATTACATTACATTAATTTTTAAAATGTTTCCATATAAAAATTATATAAATAGTTAGAACAAACCTATTTCTCACGTTTTTGCAGAGAAAAAACTTCATTCATTATATAATTTTTTGTATACAAACAAAAATTGATAAACGTACATCTACTTCATGCATAAATGGCTGACATTTCTAATATTTGACATCCACTGCAATACAATTATACTAGAAGAGGCACTGAACATTGTAAAGTGAGAGTAGTCGGACTGACAGAGAAAGCAAATTCCGGGCTATCTCTCTTTGTCATATAAAAGTATGCTGGATTTAAACAGAGAGAAACCTGGGGTGATTCCCCATACAGTATAACTTGCGTAAACTGCGTCAACCAATCAAATCGTCTAATAAAAATCTAGACGGATTTGTGTAGAGTAGCTGAGACAATTTGGTTGGATGACGTGCTTACGCAAGTTATACTGCATGAGGAACCAGCTTCAGAACGGACATGCTCGTGATTCATATTAGATATGAAATTTTCAAATGGAAGCGACTTTATTTCTATTTGATATATATATTTACCTAATTCAAACAATTCTTGCCACTGTTGCTTTTTAGTACGGCGAGGTCATATGACGTCACGCGCCGGCGCAGTGGCGTCTCGCGCTACCTTGATCTTCCCGCGCCATATTTGTTTGCACCGTGCACCGGATAGGACGCTCCGTATTTTTCACGTTTTCGAAATTCAAATTACACGCAAATAAGAT